TTTGTCATCAAATCTTAATGGGATTTTTTTTTTCTTTTTTAAGCTGTCTTCTCATCATCTGTGGGGGACAGCTGTTATCAATACGATATTATCTTCTCTCAAATATTTTTGGTCGCCTCGCATTGACTACTTGTATTCACCGCACATTATCTACCCTTTCTTTTTTTTTTTTTAAACCCACCTCATTAATTTCGCACCAATGTTTATCTATGTGCAAGAAGCCAAGTGCAGAATTGGTTATGGGTCTCCAGGCAAGCTCCCTACCAAAGTCTACCCTAGCTTTACCTAAGCGCCCCAGGGTTGAGCCTATCCCCTGAGGGTTGCACCCAACCCCTAGCGAGAGTCCTGACCAAGAACTACTAGAGGGCGGGGGCGGGGGCGGGGGCGGGGGCGCAAACTGATGTTTTGAATTCTTTTTCTCTGGTGGTGAGCCTGACGTGTGCTGCAGGGGCCGTGAGGAGCCAAATAAATGACATGGGGAATTGAACCCACGGCCTCCTGCATACCACTTACGCGGTGCTCAACCAACTGAGCTAGGCCAGTGGTCTTGTTGCCTGCCCTTCTCTTTCAGCGATTTATATGGCTCCAGATGTAATAGATGGTTCCACCTGGAGCCGTGTACCAAGGCGCAAATTTGCTGCCAGCAAATCTTGACCTTTTTTACTATAAAAAAAAAAAAAAAAAAAATTTTTTTTTTTTTTTTTTTTTTTTTTTTTTTCCCTTTCTTCTTTATCCGTGTTGTCAGATAGAGGTCTGGTGGTGGATAATTTATTAATTTCTGTATTTTTTGTTGTTCTTGACACTTGTTTGTTTGTTTGTTTTTTGAAATTTTACCTAGGCTGTTTTTCCAGGTGCCCGGGCACCCCACTTATGCCCGGGTACAGGCCTGGGTGCCGGGCATGGTGCCCGGGACTTTGTCCCACATGCACTGTTGAGTCGAGGTAACTTGACGGTTTGACACCCACAAACGCATTTTTTTTAATTCTAAAGAAATGTGATATTGCATTTTTTTTCGAGATTCGGGAATATCTTTGGTTTTCTTTTAGGAAGTCCCCGTGCACCAACCTCCAGTGTTCCTTTTCGTCTTTTAGAAGTTGCATGGGCTGCGTTACGGAAACGTGAGATAACCGAGGCCGCCAGTACACATGAATGTGGACAGTATTGCAGCCCCATACAGACGATGACCTGATGCAGTACAGCTGAGTGTGTGAAACGGGTGACACAGCCGTGATACCGTGAACGACGGTCTGACACACACAATAATAATGACACAAAAAACACGAAAACGATTGATCGGCAACGATGCCCTTTTCACAGAGCGTTGCGCTAGCTGAGACGAAAAAAGGAGACAGGTAATTCAACGAGCGAATGGGCAAGGGTAGTGGGCGTTATAATAGAGAGGTGCAGTTTCTCTCTGCCTTTTATTATTAAACCAAAAAAAAATTGCAAATTCGGAGGGCACAGCGCGACATCTGAAATCGACCGTGCGATTTTCAGAACAGCTCGCATCTCAACATCGAGCGTCGCGCGGCGTCACCCGGTGTTGAGAAGAAGCCAACGAGGGCCTACTACCTCAACGGTGCATGTGGGACATGGGCCCTGGGCAGGGTTCCGGGCAGCCCCAACGCAAAAATAAATTAATAAATAAATAAATAAATAAATAAATAAATAAATAAATAAATAAATAAATAAAATTCGGGGAAAAAATATGTTGTGTAGAATCGCAATACAAACGACTTTTGGCTGAGGGTCACATCAGAATTCCACACAGATTCGGAGATAATAAAAAAGAAAATAACAGAATCACACTAAGGCACCCCCCTTTAAACCCCTTTAGCCCCTTTAAAACCAACTTATACCGCCCTTCCCTTCCCCCCCTCTCCCTTGACAGCCAACTCTCAAAAAAAGAAATGATCCTGGATTTGGGGTCCTCTGGGAGAGCACAGAACCCCTCCCGCCCCCCCCAAAAAAAAACATGTTATACCTCCCTTCCCCCCCCCCCCCCCCCGCACCCACCCAAAAAAAAAACCTAGCCCCTTTAAAACCTTTTTTTTTTTGCACTCCCGGGCACCCCAGGGTGACGCCTGGGTGCCCGGCCAGGCAGGACCGGCCGTGCATGACAATCTTCCTAGAATTTGAATTTTAGTATTATTATTTTACCAATTATTACGATTATTATCATTATAATCATTCTGTCGATGCTCTGCGAGCTTTTGGTGAGTACTTGCCACAGGAAGCTCGAATATAACTTTTTCTTTTTTTGTGTGTGCGGCAGCGGTTTTTGCCGTTTTTATTTTTTGCGTTTTCATTGTTGTTCGTGCACGTGGGGCTCTTTTCTATTTCTGATTCGTATGTACTTGTATATCTGTACGTATGTATCTTTGTTTATGCATTATATTCATAAGGTATTGGGATTTGCGTTCATCCAATCCCGTTGCAAGTGTTCAGCTTCCTGAGCGCTGTTATGCAATGAGTGTGAAACATCCTTTAATGGTGGTGGCCACGGCCGACCGCAACATTATCGTCTACAATCTTCAAAACCCACAGGTACGTGCAGTAGACACTCTTTCAATCTTTTTTTTTCGTTCTTTTGAGAAAATTCCGTCCCCTCCCCCCCCCTCCCCGTTTTCTCTTTCCGTTCTTCCCCCCTTCCCCCTGATTCTTCTTTCCATCCTTTTTCTTCTAGGCTACCAGGGCGTTCGGACCCGTGACGTCTCCGACTGACGTCCGTCGGACTTCCCGGATGTCCGTTTATTAAAAAAAAAGAAAAACTGAAAGAAAGATATGATATGTACTGTGCAACACTTCAATTTCAATACATGTTACGATCCTGGCCAATTTCAAAGTGCACATTCATCAGATAGTACAATGCCGTCCAATTGCAAAAAAGAAATGAATGAACTTGAGAGGGGAGAGAGGGAAAGAAGAAGAAGAAGAAGAAGAAGAAAGAAAGAAAGAAAGAAGAAGATGTACACCAGCAAAGAGCGATGATCCCGACACTTATAAAAATCGCTAATGTCAGAATTCTGAAATCCGGGCCGTCTTTGGACCTACCGGCCCGACGGCCCAGATTGGGCCCCGGTCTTAGATCTTTAAGATCGCGCGGCGATCCAGGCCGTTCGCGGTTGTACCTGCCGACGGCCCAGATCGCCCCGCGATCTTAAAGTTTTAAGATCGCGGGCGAATCCGGGTGGTGATTGGGCTGAGGAAGGAAGGGGAGGGAGGAGATCAAGGGAAGGTGGTCAGACAGAGATCAGGCGAACAAAGGGGGCGAGCGAAGGGGAATGAGGCGGCCAGGCGGACGGAGGCCAGGGGGAGGTTGAAGAGAAGGTGCGGAGGAGGCCTGTAGGAGGTCAGGTGGAGACCGGGCCAAGGAAGGAAGGGGAGGAATGAGATTGGGGGAAGGAGGAGGTCAGTGTAAATTGGGCGGAGGAAGGAGTAGGACGGAGGAGATAGAGGGGAGGTCAGGCGGAGAAAGGAAAGGGAGTCAGGTGAGGGCAGAGGGAGGTTTAAGAGAAGGTCCAGAGGAGGCCGGGAGAAAAGGGAGGCGGAAGGGGTAGGGCGAAGGGAGGACAAAGCAAAACGTAGTTCAGAGGTTGAGTGACGTATGGAGGAAGGGAAGAGGTAAGGGGAAGACGAGCATGGGAAAAAGCGTGAAGAGGAAGAGGCGGAAGTGGAAGGAGGCCGGGAGGAACGGGAAAGACGGCAGGGTGAAGTCGGGCTTAGGGAGGGCAGATGGAAGGAGGGAGGGCAGAGGTTGGGTGGGGTACGGAGCAAGGGAAGAGGTCAGGAAAAGGTGGGGGGAGAGAGAGAGAGAAAGAGAGAGAGAGAGATGAGGGTTGAGGGAAGTCGGCAGCAGCCGGGAAGGTTAAAGGCTCGGGTAGGCTGTTTCTTTTTTGTCTTTTTTTTTCTTTTTTGTTTGGTGTGTTGTCATATTCTCTATACACAACTCCAGCCACGTGGCGCAATCGGACTATCCACCGACTCATCA